CCTGCTGTTTGCTTGTGTACTGTTAATCATACAGTTTCCTCCTAAATGATTACAATTGATGAAAACTAAGGCAAGGGATATAATAAACAACACGCAAATAATCCAGGTACCAAGGGAGCAGGGTACCTGCCAGGTCTTTCCTAGCACAGGTGTTCAGGTGTTTTATTGCCTGCTATGAATAAAAGGCTTTCTTTTCTGTTCAGATTTGGAGATATGTCAAACCACTACATTAAGGGAGCTTCACTGGAGAAATTTGCTGTCATTTGAAGTGCCCAGTTTCTTTAAACGTACACATGTCAAAAGGAGAGTGGCTACCATGGCTCATTGGCTAACAGTGTGGTCTGTCTCCCCCCTCTCATTTTATTTTATGTGAAAAGCTGGCAATTTTCATATATCCATAAACAGGCATGAGCTGCTGCACAGAAATTGCACTCATTATATTAATAATGATTTACCATGAACGTCCTCCAGGGGCTTGATTTGGTCCACATCAAAGTCCTTGGGATTCTTTCTGCTGATTACAGCAGATCAAGCCCTAAGCAGGTTTTCTTTTTTTAAGTCTGCTTTTAATGTCAGCTTGATGTTAGATGTGCCTCCTGTAGAGGATTGCAACGTGCCCAGGCAAGGGGACACCTCAGTGAGCCACCCCATAGACTGATGGGGCTGTCAGGGGCTGCTCTGTACCTGTGCTGGCCTCCCTGGAAGTGAGACAATGGGGAAAAACATTTCTAGCTGTTCATGCCAGTGATCCTTGGGACCATCTGGGTCTAACAGTGTCCCCTGAAGCATGGAGGAGAGTGAGAGCCTCTGGGCTTGGCTGTGACCCACCTGCACACAGGCTGTGTCTGAGGGCTCAGTCCATCACCAATGATCAGAGCACTGAAGAAACACACAAGCAATTTTGGGTCTGTACCCAGCTATGCCAAATCTTCTAATGGTTAATATCTCCAGCTCCTACTTGAAAAATGGACTTTACCTACTTTCTGGGGATACAGGAAATCTTACTTAAATAGAAACAAATTTTTTTCTGCCACCTAGCCCTGTGTGCTTGCAACACTTAATTCTCCCAGTGCTTCTGGGTTGGAGTGGCCACACAGGCAGTGAGAGGAAGGCAAATCTATGGTATCTTTATTTCTCTGGGAGAGTGTGTGGATGGCAGGATAAATGAGACCTGAAATGTGGCTCTATCTCAAGGCAGTGCTTTCACTTGAAGTAACATTTGCTGTATTTTGTAACTTACATGTGACTTAGATGTTAAACACCAGGAGCTTCTTACTGAAACACACCATGAGCTCTTTCTAGTTTCGTACAAGGCACATACAAAATCACATGGAGAGTTAATTTCCTGCAAGTAAAATAATCATACAAAATCACATGGAGAGTTAATTTTCTGTAACTAGAACAATTTTAAGAGGTTTTTTTATCTTTGCATTTTGATTGTTGATGGGTTAAGTGTCTTATCTATCTTTCCCTCTGTCTTTTTTTTTACATTTTAAAAATGTTACTCCTCCTTTAAAATCCTGAAAACACAGTCAGTTATAACTAGTCAGTTATCCTAGCAGATTTGGCTAGCGTTTCTTAAGAAAATGTTGCTATGGTGCTTGGAGTATTGTTAAATTTTAATTATTAGTAGTTACAAAGCTAATAAATTACAAGACTACCAAAATCTATTCCAGCCATATTGCTGGGTTTCATTCAGACGCAGTCAGATAATTA